TTTTCAAAGTAGTCATGTCAGTTTGTCTCAGTATGTAGACAAAAGTTAAGGGAAAAGAGAGAAGAAAGAAGGCAAACTAGCAGATTAAAAATTAACAGATTTATTTCCAGTGAGCTTTTGTGGATAAAAATCTGGCTGGGATCTGTTCATTAAGAGCTTGATAAGTCTTATTCCTGTATTAATTAATCATTGTTATGTTATCTACTATCACTTAAACATGGATTTCATCCATATGGCATAAATATAAGGAACATGTATTTCTACTACCTGTGTCTGAAGAAGTGGATTTTGATCCATAAAAAGCTCACACAGTCTTTAAAGTGCTACACTATTTCTTCCCCCTCTACGTTTGCCTTCATACAGTAATAACTTAGTGTTCTTTTCTTTCCTTCCTTTCTACTTCTTAAGCTCAGGATGCATACACAGTGAGCTGTAGGGAGTCTTGTCCATTCTGAAACAAACAAACAAACAAAAAACCCTAATACGTTTTATTTCCCATAACCTTTTGTGAACTGAAGTCCACATCATCAAATATATGAAGTCATGTAAGCAGACAATATAGAAATGTGTAGATATTTATATACAGACACTGGCTGAAATCCTCTTACTCAATTATGCAAATGGTGAAACGATTGGAAGCAAATTAATTTCCATAGCTAATATCTAAGTCATGTGATTCAGTGTGCAACAGGTAAGGTCTATGGAGGTGTAACATCCACCCTCGTGCCTCTTGCTTGACCGTCAAGCCTCAGAGCACACGAAGGCAAACAATCCTCTCTTTCCACTGCTGCCACCAGGTGATTACTAAATCACCATTACCACAGAAAGTTTCAAGTCCACACTTCAAGGTCTTTTAAATAGAACTTTGGTTTATTGATTACAGAGATTGATTCATGAATGTCTTCAGTAGCTAATCACACCTCAGAAGAATTCCCCAAACTCCACACTCTATCTACTTCTCCCTCTTCTCATTGTTCACTCTCTGTTACTCTCACTCTTACTAACTGACTGACTGACTCAGGCTCCGCCTCTTATAGCATCTCTCTCAGTTCTGCCTCTCAGCAACATTAATATGCATGAACCATTACATAATATAACATGAACCATAGACCTAATAAATGGGGAACACTACAGGAGGTTTCTTAACATACTAGCAATTTGCCTTTTAATAATTACACCATTCACGTAACTATACAACAGAATTTCAGTGTGAGTGTGTAATGTAATAAAAATGGAAAAGGCTTAATAGTGACTGTCTTAATGGTGGATTCCAAGAGTCTTTCAACAGTCATTGGTGGGTAATATATATAGCCAAATACAGATAGGCAAATTAGCATATGTATGGTGAAGGAAAATCTTTGTCTAAGACAAGAGAAAAACTTGTATCTATAGATACACACAGTTGGTGAGGAAGTGAAATCAAAGGGCCAGAGGGGATAAAGAGAGTGAAGTTACTAGCTGAGCAGGAAAAAATTCCAAACATCATATAAAAGGTGGATGGTAACAGACAACAATGCAAAGATGAGCTGATGATCATATGTAGAGACAAAAAGTCTTGTAAATTAGGTGCCCCATTGTACCAGCATGTGGCAAACCTCAAACAAGATAAGAACCAAAGCTTCAAAACAGCACTTTTGTTCTATGGAATCTCCCAGAAATCTTCTGGCCAAGATGGAGTCCTGGAAGCTGTAATCTCTCAAAAGCAATGTTTCCAACTTCTGATAAGAACGTATAGTGTAAGGAGAGTTTTCCTAGATTAGACCAAAATTCTACCCAGTCCCGTAAGTATTCTTTATAACAGAATTCATCCACATACTTTTAGCAGGACACATATAAGTGGATCACATAATGAAATAAATGCCGAGATGGCAAAACTTTCTGATCATGCATAAAACATAAGCCAAGTAGGCAGGGCCACAGACGTTTACCATATATACCAGCTTTATTTTTCATGCATAAATGCAAAGAAAACCTTATCCACAGAGAACATGTAGCACTATCTCATGCATTTAAACCTATCTGTGGCTATAGGTGCTCACACTCACCTCATCAAGGTGTAAGTTGCAAAGCTATTCATAATTATTGAGAAGTCAGTGGGACCTGCTTCTAAATAAATGTGTGTAAAAATTCTAAATCAACATTATCTTTCCAGAAATGCATTGTACTCTAAAGTAGCTAAGTGCGGCATGGGCTGTATGTGGTGTGTGTGCAACAGAATAAGAGGGATTGGCTTTGTCATGAGTTCACAGTCTTTATATAGGGTTATATTTACCATAACATTCATAATTAAAATATCAGACAATCTGACATCTGTTGGTCTAGCTGTGATCCAGCTGGTGTTTTGCCAAGACTATAGCACTGTGAATACATATTTTGAAAGGCCAGGTGAAAGACCTAAGAAAAGAACTATATTTCAGTGCTAAATAGATTAACAGATTTCTGATTTGTTCTTGAATGGAATATATATAATGAGAAGCAAATCTAAGCCAACTTCCTTTCAAAAACCAGGTGTGAAGTTCTTCCTAGGCTGATCTGTATTTTTATAAAATGTTTTTTTAAGGGAAAAATGAATGGCCCAATAAAATCTGAACATATAAATAATTTGAAATGGCACAAGAAAGATTTATTGGTCCATTGTAGAAGCATATTAGAAATGGGAAACATACAAGCAACATATCTCATATAAAGTAACAGTGATATAGAAAATGAGGAACAGAAATATTTACATGTTGATAAGTTTTCAGTCTGAGGTTTTGGGCTGGAGAACATTCTAATTAAGAGCCCAAGTCTATGCATATTTACTCACAAGTAAATCCCACTGTATATAATATATTTATTTATTTTAATAATATATTTCATTTGTTTCTACACAACCAGTCTATAAATACTATAAGATATATTTTTGTTAACTCACAGGTTCCTAATTCTTTTAATACTATACAAAATAGAAAACTAGATACAAAAATTACGAACAGCAGTCAAAATAGATTCACAATATCTTTTTAAAAAATATCACGTAATATACACCGCATGTTATTAGAAATGTAACAAAACCATAAAAAATGGTCTAAACATTTCTATATTGAAGAGTATCAGTCACAAAATCTGAACAGCTTGTTATTTAACATGCCATTAATACCAACAACATTGTGGGCCATAGATGTGGAATGTTCTTCCATAGAAGCCTGGATCTAAGAGAAAGCTTATGAACTTCTAAAATAGCTTATTTGACTTCTTTAATTAATTAATTACAGTTCTGAGGCAACCCCTCCCCCTCAGCTAGTTACCATTATAATGGCAATTTGAAAAAAGAAACTCTGTGCTTTCTTGTTATGTAAAAATAAGCAACTTAGTATTAGTTGTGAGGGATTGTTTGAGAGGAAAAGCAAAATGCCACAAGCCACTGGCCTGCAGTATGAAACACTCCAAAGCAATAGCCCACATACCTACATAACTATATAAGTAACAAAAACTTAGGTAAAGGTTCCCCTTGACATTTAGTTCAGTCATGTCCAACTCTAGGGCGCAGTGCTCATCCCCGTTTCCAAGCTACAGAGCCAGCATTTGTTGAAAGACAGTTTCTGTGGTCACGTGGCCAGTGCAACTAGACACGGAATGCCGTTACCTTCCTACCAAGGTGGTACATTTATCTACTTGCATTCTTACATGCTTTCGAACTGCTAGGTTGGCAGGAGCTGGGGCAAGTGACGGGAGCTCACTCCGTCGCATGGATTTGATCTTACAACTGCTGGTCTTCTGACCTTGCAGCACAGAGGCTTCTGCGGTTTAACTCACAGCGCCACCATGTCCCTTCTTACTTACTGTTAAAACTGCAAAAGCAGTGTTGTTAACTTTATTGTGTTACAATCTTAATGTAACTGAACCATTCCTTAGTTACTGCAAAAATGTTACAAGTGGACAGTGATTTGTGACTAGCTCCAGGCTTTGAGAAGAACATACAGTGTTGGTCAAATAAGGCCAATACTACCAAAATAGGTAAAATTCCTGAACTGTTTAGAGCTGATTCTAGTTGTGGGTCAAATGACATTGACACATATATTTTTAATTTAGTTAATCTGTTTTCCTTCCTAAAGCTTGTGGGTCAAATGACATTAAGGGACACATATATTTTCAATTTAGTTAATCTGTTTTCCTTCCTAAAGATGGATTTCTTCAGAGATAACCTGCTCGACAATCACACTTGCAAATTAAGCTTGTGTTTGCCTTCCAATGAACAATCAGAAAATAAAGAATGCTTAATGCCAGATACGTAACTGAGGAAAATCATGTCCTATGAAAAAACAAGTCATCTTATGGAGCACCTCTTATATATTGCTTAGTTTGAATGGATAGTGACCAAGCCATGAACATACATACTTTATTTCAGTGGGAAACATCCATTGAAAGAAAAGCCTCAGGTGATCTGAGCTGTCACAGACAAAAGAAGGGGTATTTCCTTTACTCTCCGGCAGTATTCATGAATTTATTTCACTGGCATTTATCCATTTGTTTCATCTGGCATATTTAAACTGACAGTCCTCTTGGTGGAAGAGATGCAAGTGAAAGAAAATTCTGCAAGGCCAGCAAATTCTACTGACAGTGTTTTCCTGAAGACAGATGCCCAGGGACAACAAAGGCACAACTGAAACTTGACTGCTGACAAAACTGAAAAATCCAAAGGAGATTTGTTGATCATCTTCATACAATTGCATAGAAATGCGGTGTCAGCATATCATTTCCCATGCTGAGTGTAAATTTCTCTGAAAATCTGATCATTTTATAGTCACACCAGTAAACCACACCAGGAGGCATCTGGAAGATTTTCAAACTCTCTCAAACCACGCTGTGGAACCCTGTATTCCCACACTGCACCACAGTTCCTTATTATCAGAAGACGACGTCTGGAAACATGCTTTTTCAGTTCAATGACTGGGCATGTTCTGGATGTCAGGCACAGCTAATTTAAGGGGGAAAAGGCCATGGCTGGTGAAAGTTCCAGTTATGGTTTATTTGGAGGCACTTCTTAAACAGGGGGATTGCTAAGAGGTATACCAGAGCCATAGGCCAGCGTGTGGCAACTCTGAGGAACATCTTCCCTGAGAGGCAAAAGTTCTGTTTCTTCACCAGAGTAAACAGTGGTATCCATGTCATCTGAGTGATAGCCGGATTGGTAGCCACTTGTTGGATTGGATGCTTCCGACATTACAGACTCCTTACTTTTACTGGAGACCAGCCCACTACAAAATAATAATTAAAAAAAAACCATTTAAAAACTTCAACCTCTGATTTTGAAAATGTGCTCCTATTTACCCATTTCTTTCTACTGCAAAACCTAAAAACAGTTCCATCACCATTCTGTCAGGGCACAGCAATGGAGGAAGATGGAAAAGAGGATCTTCAACCTGGGTTCTGTTGAGTGACAAGCACTACCAGGTCTCTCCTCTTTCTCAGCTGTCCACCCTATTGGACTGCAACACAAGAACAAATTGAGAGATAGGGCTTTGTTGTAAGAGCATTTGGCTTCCTCCCTCCATGAACATCTTTTGTTCAAGTCTAGACCACAGAGTACAGGTTTGGGACTAATGATCCCTTTCTTGATCAGTCATTGCCAGCTCAGATCTCATCAGTGTATACATGAAGTAGGACTCTTTGTCCCAGTGTGCATTCCTTTACACTTGTGCTTGTATTGAATCTCATTTGCCATTGTGGAAGCATTTAAGCCATGTCACTGTAGCAACAACCATGGAGCATTATACAGACAGAGAAAAATGGAAGAGAGAGAGAGAGAATTATCAAAGAAGGGGTTGGCAACCACACTCCTTCCGTTCCTGTGGCCAGTTCTAGTCTAAACTATCTTGAATATGAATGTGTATATGACATTTGATTGCTTAGACTTACCTAAAGGGCAACATCAGTTGTTTAGATTTCTCTTCTAGTGTCTTGAGTTCTTCAGATGCAAGAATCATCCCACTGTCTGTCTGATTATCCTAGAAGACCCCAAAGGATATATCACATTTGGAAAAAAGCCACAAAAAGGACAAAATGTATGAAGAATATGAAAGGCAAAATAGACTTACGTCTTGAACCACCTTTATGGTTGGTTCTACAGGCACAGATTCAAAGGTCTTTACGCTCACAGGACGACTTTTTCTTCTGCTTCCTTTGCAATGCTCACTGGGAAAGAAGCAACATTGTCTCTGTCAATGTCCATGCAACTAATAAGAAGGCCAAGGAAAGATGAGAATGAAGCATTTTCTAGCCTAAGCAACATGGGACATAGTAAGACTGTGCTGGAGAACATGTGACCTCCTGGTTGCTGGACTGCAGTCATCATCACCCTCCACCACTGGCTATACTGGCCTGGCCTGATGAAAGCTGATTTTCAACAACATCTAGAAGGTTCTCCATCCCTGTGCTGAATGAAAAGCAACCCAGCAGCAGCCAAGTACAGTGGACCCTTGACTTACAGACGGCTCGACTTACAGACTTTTCAAGTTACAGACTTCTCTGGCTGCAAAATTTAGATTCGACTTGCAGCCACAGAATCGACCTACAAACCAGAAAAATCCCAAAATGGAACAAAAATAGAACAAAACAGCCAGTTATGGGATTAATCAGTTTTCAATGCATTGTAGGTCAATGGAGACTTGACCTACAAACTTTTAGACCTGCAGCCACCGTTCCAATACGGATTAATTCCATAAGTAGAGGGTCCACTGTAAAGTGCAATGTTTTGCTACTTACACTGGGCCTCAAATATGAGGGCAGGGGAAACCTCTGGCATATTATAATTCATGGCTTGACTACATCACAAGCTGTGTTGTCTTGAACTTCCAAAATGTGCATGAGTTTCAAGGGGCATGTTTCAGCAAACAAAATATGTTTTAGGATCAGCAAGGCATTTTTATCCACAGATATTAGACTACGCTTTTGGTTCAGGGCAGAAAAACCATTTTTTCTATCTGAAGTAAATTACAGTATGGAGCCCTTCCCTCCTATTCTGGAGTTTGAATCTGACTTCTGCTCTAACAATAGCCATCAGTGACACTTAACTTGAGTGCCACAAGTTATGTGCAGGCTGAGTTACATACATGGCCAGATAGTGCTTTTTCCTGTCTTCCTATGGTTATGGATACAGTATGAAAAGAAATTTGCAAGATTCTTGTTTGCAAGCATTCAAGATGACTTATTTGGCACAAGCATGTTGTAATCCAGCAAGAAAAAAGTGATAAAGTATGTTGAAAACAATTTTTCTGAAGTAAGCTATGAGAATCTTTTCTTTAAAAAAAATTGAAACGAAATAAAATCTGTTGGTTTTTGAGTTATGCACATTATCACAATGTTAAAATTAATTTTGCAATCTTTTAAAAAAAAAAAACTGGAAAAACAACAAAGAAGCTTGAGTCGTGAATCTTTTTCTTTGGATTCCACTTCTGAACCTCCTGACTGGATGGGTAGCGGCAGCAGCTGATTCAGCAAACTTCTGTCCAGTTAAAACTGTTGGAATTGGCACAAATCTTATATGCAGCTCCAAAGGCTTTGCTTCAGAGAAAACCAGCTAGGCTGGATGAGTTCCTAACTCCATGACAATCAACACTCGGCATTATTGTTACACAGTGGAAAAGGAGTTACAAATTAGAAATACCCATTGACCAGTAACCTGAAAACAAAGCTTGGAAAAATTATTTTGTGGGGCAATAAGTCCCAGAATGCCCAGACAATGCTGTCACTGGCCATGCAGGCTCAAGCATGCTAAGAACTGTAGGCCAGAAGTAAATTTTCTGCCAAAAACTGATTTTGCCCATGACATCGTGGGCACATTCCATGAATGATCTTTCTCTCGCAGATAAATTGAAAATAACTTCTCGAAAGCAATTTAGAATGCTCAGATAATATTTTGGGTCTACCTAAAAGCAAGGAAGTTCCAAATCCTCAACTGAGCATCTCTGAAAGTGATAACTGTACAATGCTCAATCAATTTTAGGTGGTCTAAAAATACATTAAGACAGCAGTTCCCAAGCATCTCAACGTCATGCTGTACTTTCAATTTTTAAGAAATTCTCAAGCCTCCTCATTTCTCTTTTAACATTATCCAATACACTTTTAATAAAAAAAAATCAATTTAAAATTTAAAAACAAAAAAAATCAATTTAAATGTTTTGGATTTTTAAAAAACACAACTAATTTTTCTAGAGAAAGCCTTAACAAGTCCTGCAGCTGCTTCTTCTCTTGATGTTTTGCATTTTAAAAAAGCTTTTTAATAGCAATCCAAGGTTCCTTTATATAGCAGACTGCATGGCTTTCCTCACCCTCTTTTTCCAGAATTTCAAAGCCAAATGCTTTCAATGTTGTGTTGCTCATGTTGTTATTATTTACAATATATTTATTAACAGATGCTTAAGGTGATTGGATCTTATATCTAATATTTTCTTTAACCAACCAAACAAACCCATTATCTTTCTTTTGCCATGGTTCCTTACAAAGTCTGCCTCTTCTAGCGATAGTAAGCCATGGATTGAGCAAGGTGGGACCTCATCCCCAGCTTTAGGAGTAGATGACACACCTTGGTGACTGGACCATGGACCTCTCTGGCTCCTGGATACCACTAATCGTCAACATCAGTGTTGTCACTGTGGATGCTGTAATTGTCTAAACACCTAGGTCATATAATTTGGCCTTTTTCCTCAAAGACTCAAAATATCTCTCGAAGGTCACAGCCACTCTTTTTTCCAGGAGGAGCGAACCTCTTCTTCCCAACCCCTTGCATGATGCCACAAGTGGTGATTTGTCAGCACTCCAAATGTCAATGAAATACTACTCTCATTGTGTCTCAGCACTGACCAAGTTAATTAGGCCGATGGGAACTAAAGTTTGACAATATACAGATTACCAAAGGGTAATTATTACAGCCCAGCAAACACGGTTATATACAAATAATGAACATTAACACCTTCCTCATACTTAGCACTTTTGCCACAAGTTCAAGTACCAAAAAAAAATTGGAGGAGGTTGTTTAGAACTCCCAGAGGAACTGTCATTGTGGTGGAATGCCCATGTCCCACCTGTCCGTCATGTGGAGCTCTAAAGCTGGAGCTTAGAGGGGAGGGGAAAATGTTCATAAACAACTGGTAATCCCTTTTAAATACAGGGAAAGAATTATGGAGAAGGGACATAAAGACACCTTTGCGGCTCATTTGGGAATCACACGCACAAAGCTGAGAATAGCTCAGAATTTCTACTGGCCAGGAATGGGGAAGCAAATAAAATCATACCGTCAAAGCTGTGATGTATGTCAAAGGCAGGGTACAGGCAATGATAAAAACAAAAGCTAAGCTGTGCCCTTTACCAATCATATCATCCCTGTTTCAACGCATTGGCATGGATATTGAGGGACCCTTGCCTAAAGTAACCAGAAGGGGAAACAGATTCATATTAACAATAATAGATTATGCCACTAGATATCCATAAGCCATTCCACTGTGAAATATAGAAACAGAATCAATAGCAAATGCCTTAGTGAATTATATGTGTCGCATGGGGTTTGCTTCTGAGATTGTCACAGATTTGGGAACATCATTTACATCCCAATTAATGAAAAGGCTGTGGCAACTTTGTGGCATAAATCATATAACATCATCCCTGTATTATCCACAAACAAATATCCATAAGCCATTCCACTGTGAAATATAGAAACAGAATCAATAGCAAATGCCTTAGTGAATTATATGTGTCGCATGGGGTTTGCTTCTGAGATTGTCACAGATTTGGGAACATCATTTACATCCCAATTAATGAAAAGGCTGTGGCAACTTTGTGGCATAAATCATATAACATCATCCCTGTATTATCCACAAACAAATGGTTTGGTGGAAAAATTTAATGGAACCCTAATGCGAATGATCAAGGTGTAAACAGCATCAAATCCCCATGACTGGGATCAGATATTACAACCCTTATTATACACTTATAGGTCTGCACCCCAGGAAAGCACTGGAATCGACTCTTTTGAATTGTTATTTGGGAGGAAAGTGCAGGGGCCCCTTGATTTACTTAGGCAAAATTGGGAAGAACAGAGGGAACAAGATCCGGAAACAGTGATCCAGTACCTAGATACCCTGATGAACTCCTTGCAGCAATCTCTGAAGCTTGCATTTCGAAAATTTGCAGAGACAGCAAGGAAAGCAGAAACTATGGTATGACAAAAAGGCCAGAGAAAGATCATTCAGTCTGGGATAATCCTGGAGATGAGGTCCTGATGTTAAAACCTACAAAAGGGAATAAGCTGCAATTAAATTGGGCAGGTCATTTTAGAATACTATCCAAGACGAGTGAAATAAATTGCATAATTAAGGAGGCCAGAGAGGATGGTCAACGAGTGGTTCATGTTAACCTGATTAAACCTTATTACAGAAAAGAGAAAGTTGGCCTATATGCCATAAAAGAAGTGGACAATGAAAAACATGAATTGCAATATTGGGAAGGAAGGGATGTACTCCAAAATAACTTAAGAGGAAATAGTAATCAGCCTTACTCTGTTACTAGAAAAGCCAGAAGAAATAAGAGTAAGAGTTTTGTTAGGGATAGCTGGCTATTATCGTCGTCTAGTATCCAATTACGGCGAGATAGCCGCTCGTTTATTAAATTTAAAACACAAAAGAAGGGCCGAGAGGACCCAGTGGTCAAGAGAATGCAAGGAGGCCTTCAATAACCTGAAGACCACGCTGATGACCAGTCCAGTCCTGAGAGCGCCAGATTTCCAATGCGAGTTCACCGTCTTCACGGATGCTCCCAAGAACGGAATAGGAGCTGTGCGGAGCCGGTCGGATGATGATAGAAACCTGCATCCTGTGATTTTTCTAAGCAAGAAGCTACAAGCTGGTGAGAGACACCTGCCCACCATAGAACGTGAATGTCTAGCAATTGCATGAGCGATACAGAAACTGAGGCCATATATATGTAGACATTTCATACCGTGCACCAACCATTCCCCACTGCTATGGTTGAGGACAATTAGGTTGAATAACAATAAATTAATGAGATGGGCCCTACTATTACAAGACTTTGATTTCGAGATCCGCAGCATGAAGGGGAATCAAAATGTAGTGGCCGACACCTTATCAAGAAGACCAGAAGAATGACTGACGGAAACGAAGTAAACTGTAACTTTTAATGATATAAAAACTGTTCTAAATACAGTGGGGTCTCGACTTACGAACGGCTCGACATACAAACTTTTCAACTTACGAACTGCTCTCATAGGAATATATGGACTCGATTTACAAACTTAGATTCGAGTTACGAACTCTTTTCCCCCCTTTTTTTAAAGCTAAGTCATCTTAGGTCAAAAGGAAAAAAGAAAAAAATTATCCCCCTCTAGTGGCAGAAGGCGGAATAGCAGCTTCCCATTAGTTTCTATGGACGAAAAGAGCAGATGCGGATTAAATGGTTTTCAATGCATTCCTATGGGAAATGCAGATTCGACTTAAGAACTTTTCGACCTGAGAACTGCCTTCCAATACAGATTAAGTTCATAAGTCGAGACCCCACTGTAAATGTTCTAAGTGTGTATATGTATATGAAATAAATGTAAATGAGAATTGCATTGAAAAAAATTGTTAGACATATTGGTAAGTAATAAAAATGTTAATTAATGTCATTTAAATGTAGCATGGGAAAAAAAAATCAAAATACCTATAAGCAAGGAAGTTCCAGATCCTCAACTGAGCATCTCTGAAAGTGATAACTGTACAATGCTCAATCAATTTTAGGTGGTCTAAAAATACAGTACATTAAGACAGCAGTTCCCAAGCATCCCAGCATCATGCTGTACTTTCAATTTTTAAGAAATTCTCAAGCCTCCTCATTTCTCTTTTAACATTATCCAATACACTTTTAACAAAAAAAAATCAATTTAAAATTTAAAAACAAAAAAAAATCAATTTAAATGCTTTGGATTTTTAAAAAATACAACTAATTTTTCTAGAGAAAGCCATTAACAAGTCCTGCAGCTGCTTCTTCTCTTGATGTTTTGCATTTTAAAAAAGCTTTTTAATAGCAATCCAAGGTTCCTTTATATAGCAGACTGCATGGCTTTCCTCACCCTCTTTTTCCAGAATTTCAAAGCCAAATGCTTTCAATGTTGTGTTGCTCATGTTGTTATTATTTACAATATATTTATTAACAGATGCTTAAGGTGATTGGATCTTATATCTAATATTTTCTTTAACCAACCAAACAAACCCATTATCTTTCTTTTGCCATGGTTCCTTACAAAGTCTGCCTCTTCTAGCGATAGTAAGCCATGGATTGAGCAAGGTGGGACCTCATCCCCAGCTTTAGGAGTAGATGACACACCTTGGTGACTGGACCATGGACCTCTCTGGCTCCTCGATACCACCAATTGTCAACATCAGTGTTGTCACCAGTCAGAGTGGATGCTGCAGTTGTCTAAACACCTAGGACATATGGTTTGGCCTTTTCCTCAAAGACTCAAAATATCTCTCCAAGGTCACAGCCACTCTTTTTTCCAGGAGGGGCGAACCTCTTTTTCCCAACCCCTTGCATGATGCAACAAGTGGTAATTTGCCAGGACTCCAAATGTCAATGAAATACTACTTTCTTGGTACATACTTTCATATGTGGTGGGAATGTGAAAAAGTACAAAGATTTTGGAAACAAAATTTTAAAGAATTAAATGATATGTGTAGAAAAGACATAAAATTGAATCCTGAGATTGCTTTATCAATATTTGAGAATGTGGAATATGATAAAATGATTAAAGAATTCATAACTAGTTTATTAACAGCAGCGAGATTAAGAACAGCTAGGCAATGGAAATCAAAATCTGAATTTCAAATGGATGAATGGTATAATGAAATATGGAATATAGGTATAAATGATAAATTAACTTGTAATCTAAAGTTTAAGAAAGGAGAGTTGAAAAAGAATATTTTTAATGAAATATGGGGCAGATTCTTCGAATATGTATTAACAAGAGGAAAGGGGAAATCAAGAATCAATGCAGTTCTGGAGAGGAGAACAATAAAAGAAGAGGAAGAATAGAGATGGAGGAAGAAGATTATTGCAAGAGGTCCCATCTACGGTGGAGGGGAACACAGTTATATTGTATTTTGATTCATGTATTTTATGTTTATATTTATGTTTTAGTTAATAAAATAATAATAATTAAAAAAAGTCAATGAAATACTATTCTCATTGTGTCTCAGCACTGACCAAGTTAATTAGGCCGATGGGAACTAAAGTTTGACAATATACAAATTACCAAAGGGTAATTACTGCAGCCCAGCAAACACGGTTAGATACAAATAATGAACAACATTAACACCTTCCTCATTCTTAGCACTTTTGCTGCAAGTTCAAGTACCAAAAAAATTGGAGGAGGTTGTTTAGACCTCCCATTGTGGTGGAATGCCCATGTCCCACCTAGGGAGGTTTGTGGCAGAATGCCCATGTCCCACCTGTCCATCATGTGGAGCTCTAGAGCTGAAGTCTGTGAGAGGACAGGAGGCTGGAGTCAGTTAGAGAGAGTTGGAGACTGAGAGAGAAGGAGAAGAGACCATTTGAGAGATTTGGAGACTGAGAGAGGAGGAGAAAGGAGGTTTTTGAAGGTTTATGAGAGAGATTGGAAAATTGGTATAGTTAGTTGATGTGTTAAAGAATAGTTAAAGAACAGAAGTATATTAAAATAGATAGACAGTCATCAGATCTTATTCCAGTGATTGATATGAAGTAATACAAATAAAGAAACGTGTTTAATATCCAAGTTTAATGAGTGCAACATACTAAAATATCTATGAACCTACTTGTGTGATTCAACAACCAAATAATAAATAATCTGTTATATTTGAAATGCCTATGCAACATTATTGGTAAGGTGTGGATAAAGATCCACTGGTGGCAGATGTTGAAAGGAGAAATAAGCAAGTTGTGTCCAAAGGTGGACCTGGGTTTGAGGGAAACAAATTAGGGACACTGGGGGTGCGCGACAGTCATTATATTACCTCATTTCCAGTGTGCTGTCATAATGGAACTGAGGATCACACATTTCCTCTTCTTCTATGCAGGAAACAGGTGAGGTTGGCAAGGAGAGTCCAGAATCCTCTTCAATGTTTAGGAGTGCAGTTTGTGGAAGGACAATATAGTCTTTACCATCCTGGTGTAAAAGATACCACAAAAACAGATTTACACTTTCAGCTGAGTTGTGCAAATTTGTGTTTTTGGACTACAACTCCCAGAATTTCCTAGATAGCTGTTGGAATTCTGGGAATTATAGTCCAAAACCACAAAACTGCACAGCTGTAATTTCCAGTATTTCAGTTAGAAAACGTAGTCAGTTTTTAGAGAGATGTCTATAGATTGAGGAGCATGACTGTACCTGGCAAACATTTGCTTGCAACAAATTTCCAAGATGCTCCACCAAATCTGAAAATGTGGGTCTTTGTTTGGGTTCACCATGCCAGCAATCCAGCATTGTCTGATACCTGGAAATGAAATAAACAGGTATTGTTATTGTTGTTTGTGACACCAAGTCATTTCTGACTTATGGCAACCGTAACAGGGTTTCTGAGGTGTGTGGGATGTTTCAGGAGTGGTTTATGATTGTCACCCCCAAGTGAGTTTCCATGACCAAGTGGAGATTTGAATCCACATCTCCTTGGTTCAAGTCCAATACTCTATCCACTGCACTATGGAGTTATTTACATGTCATAATTAGTAAATCAACATGCCATTCATTAACAGATTCTGCAAGAACAGGAGTGATGGTAATCAATTTTCAGCAGATCTAAGGTGCAAAGTTTGATCTCTTGGAACCTCTGGGAAATGCACCACAGCCAGAAATGTGTTTTTACCTATCCTCTCAGAAATTACTGGAAGTTTTGCTTGCAGAGGAGGGGCATGGGAAAAGCACATATCACACCAAAGCTAAACCCTATAATTTGCTGTAGAGGGGTAAAATGAATTGCATAGGAGAGAGAGCTTGAGGAGAGTTGGGAGTTAAAAAAGCTGGCACAAGCCACATACAGGCTGTGGGCCATTGGTTTCCCCTTGAAGTCATGAACAATACTCAAAATTCTACTACAGGAAGGCAGGTAGGCAGACAAGATATTCTTAGTCTGAATGTCTCCCAACCACCAGTGGCAGGATTAGACTGACATTTTCCATGCCTCACCCCTTGTTAGTTTTCAATACTTGCACAAAGGCATATTTGCACCAGTGAGATTTCTTACATTTCAGGGGTTGTGTAGTCTGGGGGCCTCATTCTTGTTCCCTCTTTCAGTCTTCTGCAGAATTCCTCATCAATTTTTACACCAGGATATGGTGAGGCACCTAAAAATACAAGTTAATATTTTTGTAAAGAGGTCAGAATGTTGGCATGATTGTTCAACTTTTATCACAGTTTACTGTATGAGAGCTAATTAAAATTGTAGAGGATCACTTAGATTGTATCCACAGAGTACTAATTAGACAAAATTTGCAGGAAGTATGAGTCTGTTTCCATGACCATTTATTCACAGAATGATACTAAAATGTCTGGATATTTTTTTGAGTTCTGATTTGTCAGATCAGATACACCCATGTTCAATAAATGCACTAGTCTGAAAAGACTCCCTTGTTGAAACTACTTAAATCTCTGCCTGAAAAGGAAAGCCTTTCCCTGCTGATGAAAGAGGGGGCCAACTTGGCTTCTTGGGAAATCACTTTCCACACCCAGGGAGCAGCCACTGAAAAGGCCCCTCTCATGTCCTCACCAAATGAGCCTGTGAGGGTGGTGGAACCACAAGAAGTACCTCCTTGAAAACTGACTTTTCAACTGCATATTCATGTGAAACCCTCCAGGGAAAAAAAAAGACTGTCAAGGGCCCCTGCTGAAAGAGGTGGGCTGTGGTGTGCAGAGCTGAGGAAGAGAAGACACCCCAAAAAGTGTGGCTACTTCTGAACCTATAAAAATCAATAGGAATTATTTCACCATTTTAAATGGAGGTAAAACTGATGCCATAAACCAGCCCACCTTGTATATTACTAAAAATAAGAGAACTTAAAAACTCTACATTTTTATTTAAGTATTTGGTAAACATTCTGAAACTTGTCCTGAATTTTTGGAGTTCCTGTATAACCTAATTCTGAAAACAGGGCAAAAATTTATATTTTATGGCTCATTTCTTAACATTTGAGAAGGTTTGGCTCTATCTATACTTGCCCTGGAGTCAGTTTCACTGCACTCAATGGCACTTCTTAGCAGATAAGCATAGAACAATGATCTTGGTCACAAAGAAATGTGACTTACCTAATGAAAATATCTCCCACAGCAACACTCCAAATGACCACACGTCACTCTGGATCGTATATACTCTATCAAAAATAGTTTCTGGGGCCATCCATTTCAATGGTAGCCTAGCCTAAATGTGTTTAAGAAACAATAATTTATTATTTTTATGTATTACATACCAAACTATAACAAAGTTATTAAATAGTTTACACTAAAAGTAAAAACTAAGAATGAAAAACTGTCTGGGTTGCTCAGTGCTTTAGGTATCTGGAGGTGGAGCCATAGGTTGGGAGTCCAATTCCTCACTGTGCCTCCTGTGAGTACAGCCACGAGAGCCAGCCTGTGTAGCCTTGGGCAAGCTGCACCGGCCCAGGGCACCCCCAGAAGAAGGGAACGGTAAATCACTTCTGACTATTTTCTACCTTGAAAACCTCTGGAAAAGGTCACCATAAGTCAGAATTGACTTGACTGCGCATGGCTATTATTACATGAATAAAGAAATTACAAAATGTTAACAAAACAAGGAAGAAAACAAAGTATCAAACATATTTAAACATATGTTAATATTTTCAATTAAAGGTTGCCTGATGTCAGATACAGATACTTACATCTCCTTTCCTAACGTAATCTGGATCTTTGTAGATATCCCGGGCCAATCCAAAATCGCAAATTTTGACCACATTATTCTCTGCTAAGAGGATATTGCGAGCTGCCAGATCTCGATGGATACACTGCCAGGAGGGGGGGGGAAAAGCAGCAGGTCAGTTATTTGAATTCTTCCAGAGAATTATTATTTTCACAACCCCTCCAACCATGCTTCAAATTAGTATACTCTTTGCAAGGTCCAGTTCTTTGTAGCTATCATGATTGTTGTTGTTGTTTAGTCGTTAAGTCGTGTCCGACTCTTCATGACTCTTCATGGACCAGAGCACGCCAGGCCTTCCTGTCTTCCACTGCCTCTCGGAGTTTGGTCAAATTCATGTTGGTAGCTTCGGTGACGCTTTCCAACCATCTCGTCCTCTGTCATCCCCATCTCCTCTTGCCTTCACACTTTCCTAACATCAGGGTCTTTTCTAGTGAACAATCAGGGTTGATTTCCTTCAGAATGGATACGTTTCATCTCCTTGCAGTCCGGGGGACTCTCAAGAGTCTCTTCCAGCACCACAGTTCAAAAGCATCAATTCTTCGGTGGTCAGCCTTTGTTATGGCCCAGCTCTCACTTTCACACACTACTACTAGATAAACCACAGCTTTGACTATGCTGACCTTTGTCGGCAAGGTGAGGTCTCTGCTTTTTAAGATGTTGTCTAAGTTTGCCATCACTTTCCTCCCAAGAAGCAGGCGTCTTTTAATTCATGCTCTCATGATAGGGCTGTTGAAATAATGTTCCACTGCAACTCAAGTTACACTCAGTTTAAAGATGTTGTTTCTGTTGAGCTACACTCACGTCAAAATACTCCACCACTTCATAAAATAAATCAAAGTCTTGTTTGTTTGAAAAGGAACCTCTTGCCTCTGGAAATATTATATGCCCAAGAGAAGACTCGGCTATAAACATACCATGTGTTGAAAGATTTTGATTTGGAAGAGGTTTCAAACAAGCAATTCTTCACAAGCATTCCAAGGAAGCAGAGGCTTAAAAGAGAATCATGTGGGAAATTGTTCTCAAAAGATTGGTGGATCTACGCTTTAATATATTGAACTATATGCTTAGCCGATTGTGTTAAGCCACTTCCAATAAATTTGCTTTCTCTATTTAGCAGGTTAAAAAAAAGTAACAGTAGTGGGGGGGGTCAGACAAAAGACACCTCATAGCCTGCTCCAGCTGACATATCTCCATCTTCTGCTAGATGCCTCCTATTCAGTTGTGTCATGTTTAAGTTTTTGACATTCAGGCACTCATCACTGCAGCCACCATAACTGCACATCCCCAAGAACAATGCAAAAATGCAGGCACATGTGTACAGTATGTGCATAATACACAGCACAGAGTTTGGAAAAAAAAATACTTTTTGGACTCCAACTTCCAGCATCCTCCAAGCAGCATGGCTCAGAGTTGCCCTATTCCCCAGGCCCCTACCAAATGAACAGCAGGCATAGATATCATCTCCTGTTCTGGCAAGGCTAGTTGCTTCATTCTTGGTGTATTCAATAGTATTTCATAAATTGTTACTCAATACATGGGATAGCAATCTACAAACACATCATGATCTTATATCATAGACTTCAACAGGGCTGATACTCAGGTAGGCATGCACAAGATTGCAAGTGAAGTTCCCTAAGGAAATGGCATAGGCATGCTTCACCCATCGAGCCATACAAAATGGGCAGCTAGCTCCCTATGTGGCGCTGTTGCATTTTTGCCAAAGTATGTGATAATATTGATCACTTAGACTTAGAAAGTTCAGACATGCTGAGTGAGCTCCGGATATTAGCACACCAGTTTCCTCTGACTGAGTGCTATCTTTCTATAATTTCCTGAAGCATGGCGTTTGCTGAGAAATGTCATTTCCTTACGGACAGAAATTCCTTACTTTCCGTGAGGCCAGAAATTCCATTCCCCGGGCCACCTGGAAGCTGTAGCAGATGAGGTCCTCCAGGCTCAGAGCATTTTTGTAAGGATCTTCTGGTGTCCCTGCAGTGGGAAAATATTAATTTATATGCAATGTCCATCACAGAACCTGGAAATGTTACTTTAGAAATTCAACTTCCAGAACTGCTCCATGTCCAGTTAGTACAGTCAGCTGACAGGCTGGCTTGGGGATTCTTGAGAATTCTAATCTGAAAAAAGTAACACTATCAATTTTTGAATTAATATTGCTGCACATCATAATTAACACTGTCCAGTAACAGAAGATGCCATCCTTCCTTCTTTGAGAAGACTAGATTTTATAGATTCCTTTTTTTTCACTCAATAATCTAGTTATGCAACAGAAATTAACCTCAGTGATTTAGACTGCCATCTTAGCCTTTCCTACTTGAAAGTAATCCCCATTGTATGCAATGAGTCTTCCTTCTAGATCTCCAAACTATGGCCTGCAGGCCACATCTGGCCTGCCTTGCCTTTTTATCCAGCCCGGGCATAGGAAGAACAGGAAAAGGGGACCCAAGCAATTCCCCACCCCCTTCCCTCCTTCGGCCCTTGAAAATGTGTAAAATATAGGATGTGGCCCTCACACCAAAAAGTCTGGATACCCCTGTTCTAGATATATGAAACTGCACTATCACTGAAGGAAACAATATCAGAATAATGAACTTTTAACATAATTTTAACTTTGAATGATCATAGGAACAATATTGCCTGGAAAATTGCATAATGAAGGCATAGTTCTCTTTAAAAGAAAGGTTCACTTCAACTTCTATTGACAGATATATCTTTGGAACTAGAGGTGAGCAAATACCATCTGATTCAGTTCAGTCTCAATTACCTGTCTCACTGATGACAACCAATTTACTTCAAGCCAACTGGTAGCCTGCCTGCTTCAGTTCATATTAGAATATTTTGAAGTATTATTTTTAAGAACCAACTAAAAACGTGGGTGTATGTACATATCCAAATAGCAAGGTAGAAATGAAAATGAGGAATATAAAGGCCTATGACCCAGAATGAAGAGGGTGAAACTGAGCATCACCAACTACTGCTAGACTTACAGTATGCTGGCAAAGCTCCCACTGATATCCTTCCACCCTCACCAGCATCACCAACTACTGCTAGACTTCCAGTATGCTGGCGAAGCTCCCACTGATATCCTTCCACCCTCACCCCATTCTAGAAGCAATTCAGATAGCTTAGGCCCCAATCCTAATGCCATTGAGATGTATGTCACTCAGAAAGGCATGAATTCACATACAAACACACACAGGCATTTAATCCATTGCTTTAAATCTGCCATTGTCCTTCCCTAGAAGAAGATTTGGCCTTCTATCAGATATTTACTCACACTATGTGGAATTTAAGAAAATATGGATTTATCTCAGTGAATGCTGAAAAGCCAGGGCAGTCCTAAACATGAACATGTGTCCTCCTCAGTGTCTATTGTTGGCTAGATAAAAAGGGGTGGTTGAAAGCTATGTACACACTTTGGGCTCGACAAAGGAAAGGTGGAATATATGTGCAACTTAGAAACAAATAAGGTGAACCTTACCTTCTTCCTCTACATCGCTAAGAGATCTCTCTTCTCCAAATCCTGAACTTGCTGAACTTTGGCTACTTGCAATACTGTCCAAGCGTTTCTTCAGGTCTTCACCATGCCCTTGTCGACGCCTGGCATTATTACTCTGTGGAGTTTGAAAAGGGAAAAGAATGTTCATTGGCAGAAAGTACAGCAGTGAAAATCAGAGTTTGCTAAAAGAACGTAAGTATCTGTGCTGAAACTATCCATGCAGCTAGACACATGGGATTAAAGAGAAAGAGTCAGTTTTTATATGACAGGAACAGGGTTTCCATCTTTAATCTCTGTCCGCAGAAAATCACTAATGTCAGACCGATGGTTTCTTTACTCCCACTAGCCACACTACTATCAGGTAGCATTTGTGTTGAGAATATCTATACCAACAAGCTATGCACATTATTTCCAATCCAGGTAAAATAAGTAGTTGTTAAATCCTAGTGAAGCTATAATCTGATGATTTTCTTCTTAGTTCTGCTAAATTCATGACCAAAGCAACCATTCATAGGTTTGGCACTTCAGCTGTGACCAACATGGCTGAATACCAACAAGCTACAGTATGCACATTATTTCCAATCCAGGTAAAATAAGTAGTTGTTAAATCCTAGTGAAGCTATAATCTGATGATTTTCTTCTTAGTTCTGCTAAATTCATGACCAAAGCAACCATTCATAGGTTTGGCACTTCAGCTGTGACCAACATGGCTGAATTTGAGCTGAAGAATTAAGACTGGCTGAAGCCAAACCTATAAACAGTTGCAGAGGATAAGATTGCAGCACTCCTCGTTCTATACAGAGAAGCTGGCTGGATTAACAATTGAATTTTCCTTCAACAATGGTAAAAGGATACTGTCCAGAATGCAGCAGACTAATGCAGGTTTTGTGGCTTATACACCTCTGCCCTACAACAGACACAAAAAATACAGAATCCAGAGGAAGTAGCCATCACCTCAACCTCCCCAGCTGACTGGATAGCTGTGGGAGCTGACTGCAGACAGGAATACAAATAGAAAACAGGTTTGATCATTAGAATGATCATCTATGGCAGTGGTCCCCAACCTTGGGCCTCCAGATGTTCTTGGACTACAACTCTCAGAAACCTTCACCACCTCTGCTGGCCAGGATTTCTGGGAGTTTAAGTCCAAGAACATCTGGAGGGCCAAGGTTGGGGACCACTGATCTATGGGAACTGTGAAAATCTTAACTGTGTGTACACCAAATAATACAACAGTAAAGAGTAAGAGTGAATACAAGCCAATGTTGACCTACAAATGACACCTAAAGTTTAGGTTTCGTGGAGAAAGAGTAAGAATTAATTTCAGTACAATTGGTGGCAACAGACACAGCAAATCTCACAGCAGAGACATTAGAAGGCCTTTGAACAAGTGATAAAACAAAAGCATTCATTCCCCTGTATTTTATGCACACCTCACCTTGTACGGAATGAAATCACTCCTCTTGGATCTTAAATATACTGACAGATTTCCAAACTTGCAGTACTCTACAATCACCATGAGTGGGCCTGCAAAAATAAAAAGCAGACGTGTTTTAAAAAAACTGTTCTTGCTTTTGTTTTTTTGTTTTTTGTAACAGCTCTCTCTACCAAGCCTGCTATACTTGTGGTCTGAGAAGCTAAAACGTCCAGCTCACCAGTCATGAAAGCCTTAAGGAGTCTCCTGCTTAGCTTAGTGGGTCAAATGTTACATACAGTAATCTGCTATGTATAACACTTATCACAACAGAAAAAATGTTTTCAGAAGTTCTCTCTCTACACAGTATTTTGTGAAGATTCAGAAAATATACACAAAATATTGATACTTTGTTTTCATTAAGTTTTCACCGATCACGTTCAGAGACCCGCTTTGGGCTCACACCTAAATGGAATATCTGGTGATATCCTGGGTCTGTTTTACCACAAAAAAATGGCTTCACACAGCACCACATATCACATCTGCACCACACATTATAACGTCTGTTATTTGTTCTCGAGATGGTGGTTGTGTGGGGTTTTTTTTGGACTACAGCTCCCAGAATCCCCAAACCAAAATGTTGGCTGAGAAATTTTAGAAGTTATTAAAATCTCCAGCTCTGTTGTGCTGTACAATGCTAACCAAAATGTTGGCTGAGAAATTTTGGAAGTTATTGTCACAACATCTCCAGCTCTGTTGTGCTGTACAATGCTGTTTTGTAGTTGCAGTTTCTTCATTGCTGATCTCAAAGATGCAGACAGATATAACCAACACTGATCGATCTCATCTTATTTAGTAACTTAAACAGAAGCAAGCTTGGATGTAGTACTTGGACGGGAGACCACAAAGGCATCTCCAGGTATCTCCACTGATCTCTAGGAAATGATCTTGCTTGACCCACCTGACTCAATATAGTGCAACTTCTTTTGTTAGCAAGCACAGCAGCTTCAAATCCATTAATGGCTAATTCTTTTGACCAATTTGCAATACTTGTGCTCTGCTGGTTAGCTGTGTCATCCACAAATCAACAAATGTCTTCCAATGCTTACCTCCCGGCTTTGTACAAGCTCCCAGTAAGTTAACCACATTGAGATGATGGCCAATATGAATTAGGATTTTGAGCTCAGACATCAGTGCCCTGTGCTCACTGTGTGTTGCACCATCTGCCAAAGAAAAACAACATATACATTGTTGTTACATATGTTAAAGTATTCATGCAGGCTCGTTTTCCATCTTCATTCAAATGAAATGAAAGACACAATCCTAATGTGTGCCTTTTGTGATGCAGCGCCATATTGGTACAAAAACCTTGTGTGACTGCACTTAGAGACTTAGAGACTGTGTCTGTGCTTATTCGTGCATTTTCCTGAACTATCCTGTTGCAACTGTTCTATCAAGAAGTTCTTATGAGCTTGACATGAAGCAAATACCCTACACCTTGCAAGATCTTTACTTTCCCCTCAGAAGCTGCATTTTCAATGACAGCATCTGAAGGTCAGGTTTCTTGTTTGAAGCAAGGCACAAGGGAGAAGCGTTTCTTCCTGACACAGCTAATATAACATGTTTCTGCAGTTAATTTAGTTTCATAAATGTGCATAAAAACCAACAACTGTGAATACTCACATGAAGGCAATATGGAGAATGTATACACGCCAACAGTATGCATACAGGATTGACTGCGTTTCAAAGGCAATATGCCTTAAGTGATTACTGTGCCTATGAAGCTGATGGTAGTCAAGTAACACATATATTGATCAGCCAATCTTTCCCATTCAGAAAAAAATATGCATTTAGCTCTGGCCACAAAACAAAATGTATACAGAAGTCACAGTAATTTAACTGCACAACACAGAAAAGATTCATAACTGTGCACATTGCCTAATCTCAGCTGATTATTATCCATATTTAGAAATGTTCTATTGATGCAAATGGCTTACATATGCATTATTCCATGCAAATATGCAAAATTTTCAATAAATGTATACATTCAACAATCAACTCATATTAACCTAAGCGTACATATTTTCAGTTCCAAACAACAGGATCCAGGAATGTCTATAACCCCCAAAGCCACAGAACAATAGTATACAGTATGGTTTCCCTTATCCAATAGCAGTGCTCAATTCAATACTAAAAATTAATGCTTGCTGACTTCCCAGCATTTTCTTCAGAGGTGTTTTTGATTCTCACCTTTAAGCATTTTGACAGCAACAGTTTGGCAGGTAGAAGCTTTGTCAATTCCAAAGGCATCTGCTTCTATGACTTGCCCAAAGGCTCCTCGACCAAGTGGCTTCCCTGGATACAAAGCAAAACAGGGCAACATTTAACCAGAGATTGCACTTGGCGGTTGCAACAAAAGTAGCTTTGTTGCACCGCTTGAGAACTGCAACGTGAAAAAGCACAACATGCCTTGAAAATGCAAACTTCTGTAGGTCTTACAGGTGTTCTGAAGGAATAAAGTTCACATAAAATAATGTGCACTTCTGATAATGTGAATTGCAACAAATACATGCAATTTTAACACACTTCAGACAACACAGACAGTTTGTATAACAGGTTAAATGAGCAAATAAATGTAGATTGCATTCCAATAAGTGCACATGGATGTGCATGGTGGAAAATGTGAAGCTTTGTAATTCAATATAAAACAACAATGGGTGGTCCCAGTGCTGGGTCATTAGTTTTTTTGTGTTTTTTTTTTCCTATATTAACTTTGCTTGAGTCGTAAATTTTCTGTTTTTGTCCTTTTGTGTTGTACTTTCTTTTTAATGTAATTTCTTTTCTTTTTATGTGACAGGTTTTGTTGTATATAAAATAAAAAAATAAAAAATAAAGCAAAACTAAGAACAAAATACAGGCAAGATTAAGAGAAACACACACGGACACACATACAGAAAACCCTGAGAGATTTTCACATCCTTAATTTTAAATTTCTATTAACTGAATTAATGGGAAAGAAAGCCAGCTAATTCATTTGACAGGATATGTGGGGACAGCTGGCTTGAACAAAGACTCTGAGGACACCACACCTTCCAAGAGAACAGCCAGACAAAAGCAGACTCCTACCACCTTATGTGGTGGGTGGCAACTCTTGTATGTATCTGACCAACATTTTTGGAAATTGTGGACAGGACCCAGAGGGGTACCTCCATTGATGGAACTGTTTCCATTAGTGGTATCAAGAGCAGGTGACACTGCAGCTCCACTGCAGCCCTCCATACATCCTCCAAACTTGCTCCAGAGAAGTTGAAAATTCTTGGAGCCATTTTTAGGTGGTTGTAGGTGAGATTAAAAGTTCAGGGAGCTTGGGTGCAAGGCTGTGTCGCAAATCAATACAGATAGTGCTAGTCTAAGGTGCAGTACCACACATACTTTGCCCTAGAGCAGTGGTCCCCAACCTTGGGCCTCCAGATGTTCTTAGACTACAACTCCCAGAAGCCTTCACCACCACCTCTGCCGGCCAGGATTTCTGGGAGTTGAAGTCCAATAACATCTGGAGGCCCAAGGTTGGGGACCACTGCCCTAGAGTGTGGAAATGTAATTAGCAAGGAGGTCAATATGAACTGTATTCTATTTTGTTGGAGAACACTGTGCATGAATTAGCCTTCCTAAGTCTGCAACAAATTCCAAGACTGGCGTTAATTATGTCGATGGAATCGATTGGATTAGCTGTGATTAGCCATTTCTCAAGTTTGCATCTCAAGGTACAGTGCTTGAAAAAGATACCTTTTCAGTCAAGACTTCCCAGAATCTCCCAGCCAGGATAACCTTGTACCAATTGGAGCAGTGGTTCTTAACCTTTGTTACTCAGGTGTTTTGAACTGCAACTCCCAGAAACCCCAGCCAGCACAGCTGATGGTGAAGGCTTCTGGGAGTTGTAGTCCAAAAACATCTGAGTAGCAAAGGTTAAGAACCAGTGAATTGGAGGATTCTGAGAGTCATCATCCAGAAAAGTAACTTTTCCAAGCTCTAGCATTCCCTAAACCATAGCCTAATGAAAGCAACCTTCAAGGCTATGGGGCCTTCAGTTCCTGATAGGAAAACCCACCCAGCTTGAGCCTGTCTCTGGGGAATTCCCACTTGTTGGCATCATAAGGAAGACGTTCACACTGCTCATCCATAGGGACTTCATCTGGATCCATGATAATAGACAGGTAACCAGTCTTCAATTCTCCTCCATTGGCCTGGAAAAAAGCAGTAGCAGAGCTAATTAAATAAAATTATCCTTACTGCTTGGACAATGTGCATCTGGTCACTTTTACTGGCTTTGTAGAGGTCTGGAACCTTTTTTTTAGCTCAAAGGAATGCAAGTATGCTGCCCCACCTCCCTGCCACGTTGCAGGCCATGTGCCCACAAATCATCCTTAATGACTTGCTTTATTAATATCTGAAAAAAAGACTCTTTTCTCTCCCCACCAAATGCCTAGTCAATTAAAAAGTAAAACTTTATATGCCCTCAGTTCCCAGCAAGAATGTGATGGTACCAAGAGGGAAAAATGTGGCTGTTGATTTAAAGACAATGCATAAAAACAACACAAAAGAGGGTCTGCCACTTTTCATTTGTAATGCAAGACTGAGGCTGACTGGGACATTGGGAGAACTGGTTTCATTACCCGCTTAACGGTCCGAAGAATGATGACTAGGAGCAACCAGAAGAACATGGCAATTACTGCCGTTCCAACAAGAATAATGAGCTCGAGGTTCGTTTTCTCGTCAGTGCCTGGGAAGAAACAATTGATAGCAGCTTTATCAATAGGTTTATTGATAGGAGCTGAGACCTTATTGCGGTCGGTCATCAGTTGAGGTTTTGAAAGGGGTTCCTTGTTCAGGAAAGAATATTTGAGAATCCCACCATGTAGGAAATCAACTAAGACAAACACGTGTCAGGGGGAAAAATGTCTAGGGGAATAAACTCAAATCATTTATCATTGTCATGTTTCAATCTCCTTAAAAGAGAAACAAAAACATGTTAGGATATATACCGTAGCAAGTCGCATTTCACAAATGATTCGTTACACACATTTGCATGGAGGAAAATTTACAAGTACTTTCCATCCAACAAAAATATGTTACATGGCATATCACTTCAATATCCTGCTGAGGATTATGAAAACAGGATATATCTTGGGCTTGGTTAATAATTACCATAAAAACCCAAGTAGCTAATAATACAAATGCAACATTTCCCATTTTCTGAGAAGAATTCTTTTACATTGTATGCACACTAATATTTAAAATTCCCCTTTGACTGGCCAATTTCCCGGCTGTACAGAGCAACAATGTATGCATGTGCTGCTGTGCTGCTCTCTGATTCCAATCCTATGTTTACACATAGTATTGCAAAATTCTTTACTGCTACTATAAGCATTAGAAAAAGGATCCTAAAAGTGGATGGGCCTCTGTAGTCAGAACATGGTTTGCTAGACATTTTGAAATTGCTTCAGGAGAGATGTTTTGACAATGTTGTTGTTTACCTCAGAACCGGCTATTGCTTTGCATTCGATCCCAATATTTTGAATATTTCTGTATATTTATATATTTTGGATATTTTATTTGTGGCTGGTCTTTTGACAGTAATAAAGTTTTATTTATTTATTTATTTATAAGTAGACATGGTCTAGAGGGGCGGGGTAAAAATCAAATAAATAAATAAATAAATAAATAAAAT